CACACCAAGTTTACGCATATTCAGAATTGTCCCACAACATAGTTACATACTAACACAAAATTGTGTGGCCTCTATCTCAGTGATTTTAATGTCATCGGTGAAACAGCGATATTCGTACTAATCTCTAAAAATATTAATCTGTTTTTCTTTTGAATTAGAATTTTCAGAAAAAAACTTAAACAAGAAAATATAACAGGCTTTTGTAAATTTGTGTGGTGTTTTTAACCTAAAATGTTTTTGCTCAAAAATTTTAGTCTAAAACCCAAGGTTTTTTTAAGCGTCTAATTAGTTTCTTTTTCAAATGTTATAAATAGAACAACATTCTTATGTGAGTCATCTCAGTGTAGGTTAAGTCCATAGCCCTATGTCAAATGCTTCAAGGACACTTTAAGTCATCGGTCACAAAATGATTTCAAAAAAATTACACTTAGAAATCCTATCTTTTATAGTATTTTACTGATATTTTGTCGAAAAAGTTTCCCGCCACTTAATTCTGTCGCAAAATTTTGGAATTGTTTTGGCTTTCTATCTTGAATGTTTTTGAAGTTGGCTAAAAATCTATCTACATTTGTCTAAGCAATCTTAGTTTTTGAAAAAAAAATTGTTCATGACTTCCGGACGTTCGTGCTCCTGTTTTGTATATAGGAAGGGCGGCAATGAATTTATCCCGGTAAAAAGAGTACTATGCAGACTATAGGCCCCTTAAATTTGTGCGATAAAAAGTTTGTTTTACAAAACGAAGAGCTGCGATAAAAATAAAGAAGAAAAAGCAGAAAAAGAAGAAAATTATATTTCTACATAAGCGGTTCCTCTAACTATGCTAAGTCATGGCAATATGGATGGTTCACACGATCTCTACTTATTAAGCACCGAAGGAAAAAAATGTATTCAAAATTTTTTTTTGAGGTAGGAGGAAATTCTCCGACAACCCAAAATCTCCAAATCTAATGGATCTATTCGCCTTTTCGGCAGCTTATTTGCGTCATTCGTCATGTAAGCAGCTGAATATTTGGGAATATATAATTCTGATGTGTGTTGTAACTTCCTCTCTAGAGAAAAAATCTAGGAAAATGGAAGGTGCTGTTTATAAGAAACCAGTAGTTGTTAAATGAATTATGGGTGTACAGTAAAAGTGTCGCTAAGAGTTCAGGAAATATGGCTCTAAAAACTTTATATTAGTCATTTGCTGCATTATATTAGTGATAAAGTCATCCAATATAATAAAAAACACAATAAGTCTTGGATAGACATTGAGACTTTTATCAAATTTCTTATATTACAAAAAGGAGCTTTGCCCAGACCACAACTAACCTTGACTGTCCGAAGTCTGCCAATTTAAGCTTTGTATCTTGTAATAAAATAGTTTCCGGGCGTAGATCCAAATGTGCGATTCGCATGTCGTGCATATGTTTCAGCGCAAGTAGGAGCTGTCTGAATTGTCATGACATAAGCTGCCAATGTCCTTGTCATAATCAATCGATCCAACCTGACAAATATCTGCACCAAACGTTCACGATCCTGCCCCTCAGGTTCGCCAATGGACACGCCAGGATGGGCGAACGAGTCCAGC